AAAAAATTCATATTACGAGAACACATTGGTATTGAAGGAACTAGATACTGTTCCGAAATATCGCTTACTCGAACCGTCCTGACCGCGTAGCTCAGTTGGAAGAGCATTGGGCTAGTATTCCAAAGGTCGTAGGTTCGAATCCCACCGTGGCCGGGCATATTTTTCAAGCTCGCCCGGTGTGGATATGCACTCAGAGTAACATCACAAACATATTATTCACCTGAGTACACAACACCAGCACAGAAAAAATTCATATTACAAGAACACATTGGTATTGAAGGAACTAGATACTGTTCCGAAATATCACTTACTCGAACCGTCCTGACCGCGTAGCTCAGTTGGAAGAGCATTGGGCTAGTATTCCAAAGGTCGTAGGTTCGAATCCCACCGTGGCCGGGCATATTTTTCAAGCTCGCCCGGTGTGGATATGCACTCAGAGTAACATCACAAATATATATTCACCTGAGTACACAACACCAGCACAGAAAAATTCATATTACTAGAACACATTGGTATTGAAGGAACTAGATACTGTTCCGAAATATCACTTACTCGAACCGTCCTGACCGCGTAGCTCGGTTGGAAGAGCATTGGGCTAGTATTCCAAAGGTCGTAGGTTCGAATCCCACCGTGGCCGGGCATATTTTTCAAGCTCGCCCGGTGTGGATATGCACTCAGAGTAACATCACAAACATATTATTCACCTGAGTACACAACACCAGCACAGAAAAAAAATTCATATTACAAGAACACATTGGTATTGAAGGAACTAGATACTGTTCCGAAATATCACTTACTCGAACCGTCCTGACCGCGTAGCTCAGTTGGAAGAGCATTGGGCTAGTATTCCAAAGGTCGTAGGTTCGAATCCCACCGTGGCCGGGCATATTTTTCAAGCTCGCCCGGTGTGGATATGCACTCAGAGTAACATCACAAACATATTATTCACCTGAGTACACAACACCAGCACAGAAAAAAAATTCATATTACAAGAACACATTGGTATTGAAGGAACTAGATACTGTTCCGAAATATCACTTACTCGAACCGTCCTGACCGCGTAGCTCAGTTGGAAGAGCATTGGGCTGGTATTCCAAAGGTCGTAGGTTCGAATCCCACCGTGGCCGGGCATATTTTTCAAGCTCGCCCGGTGTGGATATGCACTCAGAGTAACATCACAAACATATTATTCACCTGAGTACACAACACCAGCACAGAAAAAATTCACATTAGTTTCTACTGCACCGCAGCTCAGTGTATTTTAACGCATTCTAGGTGTAATAATACGGCAGGAAAAGTGTAAATTTACACTTCGCAAGTGTTGGCATATTTTAACGAAATAAGTGTATATTTACACCATCGCAAAGTGTAAATTAACACGGAGAAGAGGTAAGGTTACACCGTTATAATGTAAATCTACATCAAATTAGGTGTAAATAGGATCTTTTCTACTTTACACCTAGTAAGTGTTACCAAAACACTAAAATAGTGTAAAGCTACACTGTGGAAGTGTAATGTTACACTCGAACAGGGAGAAAGGCAGAAATCGTCGTTCAAAACATATGAAACAGAGAAAACTTTGCTGGAAAGCCTGAACCATGAACTAAATTATGACAAACACCTCGAAAGTCGTGATTTATGCCATTGTCTGACATAAATTTCTTCTTCTCGGTGTTTATTCTATGCATATCTGTCTGTTGGCTGGGTGAAATAAAAATTTTATGCGCATACGGGGTGCATGGGTGGATTATTAACAGCTTTTCAATTACTTTGTAATATACAAATATCGACTGTGTCCCCAATTAGCGTGCTAAACGCTAGAATGTTTTGGCACATAAGTAAAGTTTCTTATCTTATCTTATCTTATCGACCATAACAACAGTGTAGACAACAACGTTAACTTGTGCTTAGCAACAGCCAAGTTCTGTTTAAGATTGATTGTATATATGCATGGATTTATTTTCTGCTTACATGCAGTATAGGCTTCGAAAGTCTAATAATATAAAATTCTCGCAGCAAAAATATAGTCAGCCTGCACAAACACGTTCAGGTTGCCACGATCACAGTTCATATTAATATTTCTATTTATCTATTCATCGAGTGTTTATTTAATTTTTGTATATTTAATTAAATTAATTTGCCCACTCTCGTTTACTGACTGCTTAATATGTTCACTCTTATATCTACTGAATATTTAATATGTTCACTCTCACTCACTCACTCAATCACTCACTCACTAATTCACTCTCGCTCGCTCATTCTCAAAAGTCCTGTATTGCTACTCACATGATTGATTTTGTTTATAGTTCAAATATGACTCAAGCGTCAAGTGTTGATTACAGGACCTTAGAACTTAAATTGCTTAATATATGGATTCCAGCCGTAGGTGCGAGGACAGCTGCTGATTTTGGTGTAAAGCAATTTGAGACATTTCTTGCAGAAGAAATTGCTTGGGTGTTGCCGGAATTGGATATTAAAAAAGAAACTATTGAAAATATTTTCGAGCACCATTTTGTTGAACAAGATCATCAGAGTTCGTTTGATACTCAGCCACCATTTCAACTCAGTGAAGCAATATTGACGGGAAGTTTGAGTGAAGGTATTTACCTCCCTTCCATAGAGCCACCAGACATGGACTTCATGTGCGTGTTAAAGAATATCATGTTTTCTAAGAAAGATCAAGAAGATGGTTGCTTGTCGTTGAGAGATGATACGCCTTTCGTTTACGCATTTATCACAAACAAAGCAACGCAATATCTCTGGAGAGAGTTTTATGACGATGCAGCTAATAAAGAGGGAGTGTATCGACTCTCTTCAAGAAAATTAAAAGAAAAGCTACACGAAAACTACCAAAAATCCGGCAGAACCATTTTCCCTTTCCTTGACAATGAACAACTTCAAGAGGTTACGGAAGGTGCAGCATTGACCGTCCGTGCGTCAAAACCATCGTGCTCTCTGGTTTATTATGCAATAGTGCTGACGAAAAAAATCTTTTCCCAACCAATAGCTGAATTACTTGACACCGAAACACTAGAATTCCTCCATAGCGCCTTTAACTCAGATACTTTTTTTAATAGAAAACTGTTTTCCAGCGATATTGTGTTGTCTATATTCTGCAAAGGATGGCCGTCTTGCGCAAACGAATGGATTATACGAAAGAGACTTTGGCCAGATATACATTCGGTGAACAAAATCACACAAGGTGGATTTCACATTGTCCCTAAGAGCTCGCCAGATGGAGATTTTCGTTTGTCTTTTTCATGTGCCGAAAAGATGCTAATTAAAACACTAATACCTCTACAGCATAAAGTAATGACAGCTTTCAAAGCAGTTGTGAAATATTATCAAAATACCTGTAGTTCAAATCTGAAGGAGATTATATCAAGTTATCATTTGAAAACAATCGCATTTTGGCATTTTGAGAAATCCTCACAAGAATCTTGGACGGTGGGAACTTTAGTTCATCATCTTATTACATTACTCGAAGAGTTAGCAGAAGCTTTGAGAATGCAAAGTCTTCCAATGTATTTTATGCCAAAGTTTAACCTCCTCCAAGATGTTGACGATCCCGAAATCACACTGGAATTAATGGAAAAGATTTCGCAACTTTCACAAAACTTCTCTGCGATGTCTAAAGCTGTAAGCATTTATACACCGTGACACATTAAAAAATAGTTTTGCCATTGACTCCGAACGTTATAATAATCTCTTCGCTTTCATACAAAATATCTTCCATTTCGTTTGCCTGAAACGATATGTTCCGTATTTTTGTAGCCAAATTTTGCAATGGCGGGAGCAACTAGAGGTAATGCGGGTCTTGCTGAGCGGGAATAAAAAAGAAAAAAACGGAACATTTTGTGTAATTTTCTCAAGAAGTATAATCATCAACTGAAAATCACAATGTGTATAGCGAGGAATATAGTCGTTAATTTTAAAGACATTCCATTTTTGCGGCAGCAAAGCGCCACTTTAATGATGGACTAATTCAATATAAACATACGTGTATAAACATGTCTACTACGGACATTTATAGTTGTTTGTTAAGATTTTTGAATCGTCTTCGGTTTATCACCAAGCAAACGGCGCGTAGCCCCTTTCCGGTCACAGCCCAGGGCGAAGGTACTAATTCCACCGGGATGTTTGCACACGGGGAAACGAAAGCTTTAGTTAATTCCACCCGCGAAAACGAAGACATTAGCGAAGTCTAAAGTGGTGTACTACTAATCTCTTCACCTCTAACTTTTGGAGTTTTGCACGAACAATATGTTTGGGTGTATAGCGTTCATACTCTGATTCGACGGTATAATTTGTCCTTGTGCATGGTACGTAGGCTTGGAACAATGCGTCTTTTGTAGTTCAGCTCGTCCTACGGCGTTATCAATAATATAATGTTACAAATTATTCTACCACAATCCACTGATAGGGGAAACAAAATACATTTGTAGACATTTTTGTTTAATACGACAGCTTTAGATGACACGATTCATTTGTAATGATTCTGATTATACTCAGCCAGAACTGCAAAATTCTGTAATAAAGAAATTGTGAGCATTATCGAAAAATATGGCATACCCTGAAATGTGTTGACACAGTTAGGTTAATTTATGAATGTAGTCCAGTAGGATTATGTGAGAGTTAAATCCCGAGTACCGAGGTTGTTAGCCAGATATGTACTATATTCACAGGGGTGCCATCAATTGTGAACTCTTCACGTTTAAGAAATATTGCTGTAATGTAATAGTATTTGTAAAGCAATCGCATGTATTGTAATTTTGAATTTCTTGATTTTCATTACATTTTCATAGGTGACCAACGGTGTTGAGTGGGTAGTCATCCTCACTGATCTCAAATATGTAGCGGACTCTCATGAATAGCGAACACTGATTGGTCGAATTTAAAATTTGTTGTGGTATGACAAATGACGACAGCGAAATAACAAACATTTATTGCAATGAAATCAGCAAATATATTGTAACTTTGCAAGATTTTGCAAATTTCAAAACCTTTTTGTATTTTTACTTTTTATATTTGTATTTTTCAATTTAAAACAATCCTTAATAAAATTACCGTGTTATCATAACAACTACTTTCAATACTTCATGTTCGGAAAACATAATGGTTTTGTCCGAAAGGCGAGGGTTTCTGTATGCATGTATTTTCTAGTCCTCGAGCCAACGGCGTCCGTGTTTCGGTTGGTGGTCACCTCACTGATCGCAAAATATGGCTGTTTGCCAGGAGTGAAGAAGGCAAAAAATATAAAAAATAAATGAAAGAAAGCTTGGAAAATCGTTTCACATAACAAATTGTAAAACTTTTTGCAATTTTTAAACGTAAACATTTACAAGATTTGATATAGTATGAGAAATCCTAGAGTATAGGGCAAGTTTGTTTCAATTGTTTTTGTATGTCTTTGTATTAATATAGACTTTGGTCTTGGTGTTCATGAATAGCGAACACTGATTGGTTAAATTTAAAATTTGCATTATAGCGACTGCATGGCGACAGGGAAATAGCAAACATTTCTTGATTTGATCTCAGATGATAGATTATACCAGATGTCTCACTCAGCCAAAATTGTGTCCGCGATTTTTTATGAGCACGCGTTGGCCGTGTGTAATCCACGCCTTGAAACGTGAGCTATCACGCATTTTGCCAGTAAGCGCCATTTTGGCAGTAAGTGTCGCACGCGTCATCTGGCGTGATAGCCTCGCGAAAATCGCGGACACGAAAATCATAGGGATAGATACACAGTGATCCATCTGGTACAATCTATCATCTGCGATTTGATGATTTCTTGCAAATGTATTTCATTTTTGCAAGATTTTGTCAATTTCAAAAGCTGTCTGAGAAAATAAAGGCGAAAGCATTATAAAAGAAGGGAGTAATGTCGCCGACGTTAGCGAAGGTAGGTTTGTTTTAAATATAGATGTATTTTTTTATTTTTATTTTTAATAGCTTCAAAAGCTCATCGTTACGTATATTTTAAATTAAACGAAAAAGACAGCATATAATTTCAGTGTTTCTTTATTGATTACCCTTTTCAATACATTAAATTTTTAAATAAAAAAGAAAGCAAAGTTGTTTGAATGCAAGAATTTGAAATCAGTTTAAAATTTCAAACTCAAAGTTTATCGATAACGGCAGTTTAGTTTTATAAATAACATTTTAAAACGTCTTGCGAAGCGTTTGAGGTTGAATTTTACCTTAAATTAAAGCTTAGATTACGTATGATAACATACCTAACATATATATGCTTGGGGAATTGATTATTTTAGTAATTTTGTAATTAAATGTAATACTTTTAGGGGTTTTTTTGAAATTTTTCATTGTTAACGAAATTATCGTGTTACCATGACAACTGCTTCAAATGCTTCATGTTCGAAAAATACAATGTTTTTTTCAGCAAGACGAGGGGTTCTGCATGCATGTATTTTCTAGTAGTTCTATATTTACTATTCAAATTGGCCAAACATGCGCCGCGGAAGCTGATTAACTAATGGAATTTGAGTAATTAACGTTGTGTATGAATAAATAATGATGTACAATGCATAAAACCCTAGTTTACAGGTTGGAGCTGCTCTTTCTGTGCTGATCGTCAAGACAGAGAAGTGCAAGATAAAGAAATTTACAGTATGACTTTACAGTATGGCTCCACGCCTGTTCGACCTCCTTGCACGTTTACAAGAAGCGGTACTTGGGACTTAATGCTGTTGCCCAACCGATTGATCTTGATTCCGCTCCGCCTCAGAATGAACAAGTTTCGCCGGTGAAATGATCCAATTGAAAATGAACCACTTCAGACATCAAACTTGGACTTCGACTTGGACGTGATTCTTTTATTCATATTGGTATTTGTCTGTATTGTAGCGTGTTTTTTTTTGCGGGTCTAGTTAAGATTTTTGCCCTTTGGGTAGTTATCGCTTTGTTAGCAGCATATGATCGGTGTGGCGAAGTTATTGCATGCATGCATGGTTCACTCGTGTGCGACTGATCGGAAAATACGGCCGCCTCTTTTCTGTGTGTGTTTAAGGATCGCTTACACTTGTGGTTTTAGTTACAGTTCTGTTGTATGTTATACATTATATCTTCATTTGATGTGTATTTCCGTCCTTGTGCGGGGTTATTTACCGTCAAGTTCGCTTTCGGTTATTTTAGTTCAGTTGAGATTGCGACGCATGAATGATACCCGTCTGGTTTTAGCATTGTTAATTTTGTTAATGTTCTACGCGAGTGGGTCGTGTATTTCGCAAGATTAAATTGTTGAAAAGCAAAATAGCTAGGCTATAGTGATTATCTTTCGCCTTTAATCAAATGGTTATTGGGTATTGTATTTTCGTATGGTATGGGACGGGAGCGAATTGCACTGCATGATTGCTTCATTCCGAGCTTCCGTATTTTATTGCATTTGCTTGAGCGAAAGAGGACCACTGTGTTTGCCGTATGACCGAAGGGCATCTCGCAATACATAATTGCTTGCTTGCGACCGAGCACAAATCCTACTATGGATTTAGCAGTTGCCAATGGGTTTTGCTTATGAAAGAACTTTCTATCGCAATTGCATGATTGCTTGCGACCGAGCCCGAGTCGTTACTTAATTTGGATTTTAACCAACGTTGCCAATGTGTTTGGCGTGTAAGAGAAGTGAATCTCGCAAGTACATAATTTCTTGAGACCGAGCACGGTTATATCGCGACTTAATTTGGATTTTAAACAAAGTTGTCAATGTGTTTGGCGTATGAGAGGGGTGCATTTCGCAATGCATGTTTGCTTGGGACCGCGCACGTACGGGTAGCTACTGAATTTGGATTTTAAACACAGTTGCCAATGGGTTGGCGTATGCGAGAAGTGCATCTCGCAATGCCAGATTGCTTGAGACCGCGCACGGGTACATACTGACTTGGATTTTGAACAAAGTTGTCAATGTGTTTACCGTACGAGAAACGTGCATTTCACAATGCTAGATTGCTTGAGACCGCGCACGAGTAGCTACTGAATTTGGATTTTAAACAAAGTTGCCAATGTGTTTGGCGTATGAGAGAAGTACATCTCGCAATGCATGATTGCTTGAGTCCGAGTACGAGTAGCTACTGAATTTGGATTTTAAACAAAGTTGCCAATGTTTTTGGCGTATGAGAGAAGTGCATATCGCAATGCTAGATTGCTTGAGACCGCGCACGAGTAGCTACTGAATTTGGATTTTAAAGAAAGTTGCCAATGTGTTTGGCGTATAAGAGAAGTGCATCTCGCAATGCTAGATTGTTTGAGACCGAGCACGGGTAGCTACTGAATTTGGATTTTAAACAAAGTTGCCAATGGGTTTGGCGTATGAGAGAAGGGCATCTTGCAATGTATGATTGCTTGAGACCGAGCACGAGTAGCTATTGAATTTGGATTTTAAACAAAGTTGCCAATGTGTTAGGCGTGTGAGAGAAGGGCATCTCGCAAAACATGATTGCTTGAGACTGAGTACGAGTAGCTACTGAATTTGGATTTTAAACAAAGTTGCCAATGTGTTTGGCGTATGAGAGAACTGCATATCGCAATCCTAGATTGCTTGAGACCGAGCAAGAGTAGCTACTGAATTTGGATTTTAAACCAAGTTGCCAATGTGTTTGGCGTATGAAGGACGTGCATCTCGCAATGCTAGATTGCTCGAGACC